AACTTCTGCAAAAAATTATCGAACCTGCATTATTTCAATCATTTCGCGACTTGCCAGGTGGTTGCAGTCTGTGAACAGACTAACCAGCAGTGGAACATTATCAACGTTTTGCAGATGAGGTCGAATGTTATCAATTCCTGAAGTAAGTGATCTTACAAATACTGCCTGTCGTCTTCCTGTCAAGTAAAAACTCATTTTCAAATTATCACTGACCGGAAGGCAATTTTGCTTTGTTTGGGAAAATTTCAGGCGCTGTTTCATCGCTCCATGAGTAAAACGAGCGCCGATTTTGAACTTCTTTTAAAGAAACTGCCTAAAACCAATTATACTTGATTGAACAGTTAATTGCATTAAAAAAAAGGCGAAATTACACAGATTTTTTTTTATTACTAATTGAAACGACTTTGAACTGATATTTGAACACCTAAACGCACAGACAGAATTACGCACAAACCGATTTCGAAGAAAGCTGTCTGACTGTCGAAAAGGTCTGCGGTAACAACTCCGCTTCAGCGCTGCGGTTTGAAAATTTCCTGAAAATCTCACGCCGAACTTTTATTATTAAAAGTTTCTGAACTTCGCGACGAACATGAAAAACAAAACTATCGTCCGTTGCGAATGCTTTGTATCTGCGAAATCAGAAGGCCCCACTGAGAATGTGTCGGCTTGATCACACATTTACAAGAGTTAAGGAAGAACTTTATAATTTGCAAAAGTTCACAGCAAAATTTAAAAGTAGTTTGATTTTTAGCAAGCACCTTCCCCTCTCAATCTCACTTCCCCAACTTCTCGATAATGTATAAAGCACGTCTTCGGCGACTATGTCCTTTTTTCTGGCCTGTCCAATTACCATCTCATTTCAGCTGGAAGGATGTCTCCATTTCGAAACGCACTTCAAATTACCTGAAGGTATTATCAGAAGAGATGGAGAAGCGACTTTCTCGTAACGGGAAGTATTTGCACCACGTTGCTGAACGATGTATCGGTAACAGGGCTGAAGGACTACATGTGCTCTCTCTCAAATCCACCGTACTGCTCGTCACTCTGAGCTGCGCACCTTTAATTTTTTTTTTAGCTCAGTGAAAAAAGGGTCAGCTGACAATTCTAATTATGATTCTTTGAATTTTTAGCGCAAATTGTGTTGCAGGCTG